CATGGGCACTGTAGTAAAAATGTTAGGAGACAATTATACAAGTAAATACAATTTGTTCAATCCTATTCCACTGGAGTTGACAGGATGCATTTGTTTATGTAATAAATTCCTTAGAATAAATTGAATTTGCAACTTCTCGTGAAATCCATAGGGATTTGAGTTGGCTCACTCCACAAAAGCAATCAGTTATTTCTAAGTATGAAAAGGGAGAAAAGCTATTCACAGTACTTCTCGAAAGCAAGATTGGGCAAAGATATTTTACTGAGCAAGGCACAATTATTAAAATTATATTATCTTAAAAAACATACAGGAACAACTGCTCAGTGTGAAAAAACCCAAAAATGCCTGTTGTCATTAACATATAGGTATATTACATACCAATGAGTGATTGGTAGGTGATTTTTTTCTCCCCTCAAGTTTGATACCACTGTCCTTCAGGAAGGTGCCCTTTCTTTGTTCATCAATTATTCCCACCTAGTCTTTAAAGCTTTTTCTCATACACTCCTTCTGAGCTCTTACAGTACTTAGGTGCACAAGTGATCTGGCATTTCTTTTTTTTTTTTTTAAGATTTATTTATTTATGCATACAAGAGCTGGGGTACAGGCCAGAGATGCAGAGGGTGAGAGGATTCATCAGAGACAGAGTGGGGAGCAGAACAGGCAGACAGACTGAAAAACACTGCTGAGGGGAATAGCGGGCGAGGCAGGAGAAGTCTGCTTTGCCATGTGGGTTGCTCCCTGGCCAGCCAGGGATCAAACTCGTGGTCCAGAGGCTGCGGATTGCTTCATAGTGCGATTCTTAACCCCTTGCGCCTCCAGGGAGACCCAGATCTGGCATTTCTTATATGCCATCTTATGCTGCTATGTTGGGCTTCTTTTTCAAGCTGCTGTGTCTCATCTTCCCAAGTACATTAAGAGAAACTCAGAAATGTTATATGTCTTTTCATCTTCCGGTATGTAATCAAGGGACTTGAGTTAGACTGTGATTTCCTTGAGGGACACAGAGCATAAATTTGATTGACATTTGCTGAATTAAAGAATAATCATATTAATCTAGGTGCCTGTGAGGTATTTTCAGGCTGAATACTACTACTACTACTACTGCTATTACTACTATCAGCTGGAGCTATGATTTGAATGAATTTTCTGGTAACTATGATTTTCACTAGTAATTCAAGTCCATGATTTTGTGATCAACCATTGCCCTAGGATACATGAAGGAAACACACACATACACACATACACACACACCCCAGTTTCTTTTCCTTAGAAACCCATGCTTCATTTCCATTTCTCAAGAACTTCAGCCTTATCTTACTACGCTCTTCTTATCCAAGTATGCCTTCACACATATGGTAATCTTGCCAAAGAACAAGGCTATTGTTTCCACTCTGGAATTTATTTTTAATTTTTCATTTGCTTGTTTTTATACTGGATATTAATCCCTAACAATTAGCACAATGATACAGCCAATTGAGCACCCTCTGGTAGGGTTAGGAACCAAGGAAAATCAAGGCTGCTGACTTTGGTATACATTCCAGGGAGGTAGGGATAGCAAGCACATCCGTTAGTGCTAAGATCATCAACTCAATGACACCACTCAACAGTGGACATAGCCTTTCCTACTCCTTCATTTAAATTAAAAAATTCAGAGAAAAAGTCTCCTTATGATGAAACTCCATTTTGCAAGCCACCCCATCACTGAGGAAGCCTGGTAGTTCGTGCTGCTTTCTCCTGATTATTTTTCTGCAAAACCACTGGGCTTCTCCAGCAGTGGAATTACTGGGAAGAGTTCCCTTCCTATGTGTTATTAGCTACAGGGATGTGTCCAGAGAGGAATTTCTCCAAATGGGAGTTTGCAGAACTCTCATTATTCGGAGGAAGAATTAAAGTTCTTCCATTCTGATTTTTGTTTGGTAACCAGTGTCAGCACTTAGTACTTATTTAGTCAATTTAGCACATTTTTCTGTGCTCACTTGTGAAAGGGGTTCTCATACTGCTTCAGTGGTCTGAACTCCAGGGTGACAGCTGTGAGACCACAAGACCGTGTTCATGACAAACTTTGATTGCCAACTACTTTGCAGGCAACTTTTCTCTGACTCACTGAGTATTTGGTACATGAGAAAATAAATTGGCTCCTGGTATGCAAACTAAGAATGGGTACAATTTTCTGGGGATTATGCTAAGGGTTTGTGGGATTAAATTTCTAGTGCAAGGATCTATCTTGGTACATATTGCCCAAATGAAATCATTTGCTTTTCTGAATGACTTTCTGTTTTGTCTGTGCCTAAAACTGAAATGAAATGTTTCAAGACTATTTTGAAAATGTAACAAAAATTAAGGACTTTCAAAATGAGAAATTTAATAGAAAATTAGACTGGGGAATTTTTCATTGTCATATTTATTCAACATTTATTTTTAACCTATAGATTTTAGATATATACCTATTTTGCCAACACATCAGACTGAAAAGTTTCAAAGTAAAACATCTAGTTCCCAAACTTGCTGCTCTTTCTGAGTTCTCTATTTCCAGCATCTTTTTGAATCTTCTAGATTCAAAGTTACAGTTGCCCTCAAATTCTATTCTTAACTGACCTGCATTCCTTATCACTTTCTAAATCTGGTAGATACTATCCCTCCAGTCTCTCACAGGAGTGGTGAGTGACTCACAACTCCAGTCCAGACTACCCCAACCTTTAATACTCCATTAGTTCCATGGAACTGTTTAATGATTCCTAAACCAGACATTAAGGGGTCTTCCATGTTAGACCCCATAGCTTTTCCATCTATCTTCATGCTATTACCCAGGTATTACCTATAGTCAGATCTCCAAAACAGCAGAACTATGAATCCCTAAGCTTTGTTCCCTGTATTTAATGATCCTGTGCTCACTTTGTTTCCTCAGTCTGGAAGTTCATATAATCTTTCCATAGGAAATCCTTTAAGATCACCCTAATCAGGTATGCCCTCTCTCTTGACTCTCCACAGTGTTTGGGCATTTCTCATCCTGCACTGACAGTTATTTATAAACCTGATATACTTTTGTCTTCTCTGAGACATCTCTTGAGGGCTGAGAACATGACTAAGTCTTCTCTAAGCTCCTGCAGTACTCAGGGCACTGCCTTGCATACAGGAAGAGCTCAATACATGAAAAAAGTAAATAATATATTATTGGTATGTTGAAATGGTTTGGTCTCTTGTGGTTGTCAGTTAATCCTCGATCATGGGTCTTGACTGAGAAATTTTTCAATGTCATGTTTATTCAGTACTTATCTTTAACCTATAGATTTTACTTATACTGTATTTTGCTGACATATCAGATTTAGCCCATATTACATACTTAATTACAAACCATTTCTGTCCGGGGTTTAAAATACTTTTCAGTTCAGTTTCAAAGATGGTTATAATAATGTCTTCACTTGTTATTGGAAATGTATGTAAAGGGACCTGAAAAAGGTAGCATCTATTGTTTTTAGAACTCTTACAACATTGATATTTAGTGACAAAACAGTCCATGTATTATTAGTTTAAGAACTGCTCCTCTAAATTAAAATATGAGAGTCAGGATGAGCATGACATATCTGTGTTGTTATTGTTTTTATTTGTTAAACCATACCCTGAAGTACCTGACTCTCAATGAAATCTTCAACTTTGGACTTTTGGGTAGGTATGTCAACAAGCTTTCAGCTCTAAACAATGTCATCTTCAACTCAAACTGTCTTAAAAGGGAATATTTATATTATTATTATTTATATGTATAATTAAACAATATTTATAAATTGTATATCACTTATAAAAATAAAAGGCACTTATTATATAAAATGGCAGAAAGTAGATGAGACCCTCAAAATTGATGATTCAGTGACACATTTGATCACATGGAACTTTTGGTTATGAATTCCTTCTATGTCTGTACTCTGCTTCCACAGACTCTGCAGCATCTTAAGGCTGGTTGTGTTTGAACTTTTTGCTGTAACAGGTGAGGATGCACACTGTCATAAATTTTTCAAAAAGCGGACTGATACTATAAAACAAAGGAGGGGTAAAATGGATGCTCTGGAGTAAGCCATAGCTATAAATATGGCCTGGCACTACTGTTGAAACAATGAAGACAACGGACTTCTTCAATTTAGAAACTATGGTTTTTCTAATATAAGACTTGTAAAGGACTTGTATATTTAATTAGTGAGATTTTGTTAGAAACAGTGCCAACATTTCTCCAACAGAATCACCAGTGATGAAATGGCAATTTAATGTACAGCCTAAGTTTTACAAAGTTAGGATCACGTCCATCTTCCTCAGTGCTCTATTCCTGAGGCTTAGTAGAGGATCTGGCACACTACTAACTGTTCAAAAAAATTTCTGCTTGAATAAACAAGCATAAAATAACTTTCATTGAATGATGAACACCTGTACTAGAATAAATCATCACACTGAAAAGGAGTGCTGGGCATGCCAGATTAATTTATCTATAAAAGGGATTAAAAAAAAGTTTTTGTAGAACAATTATATAGAATGTTTTTTATATACCCCAATGAACAAAACCATTTAATAAGATGCTGTTATGCTCCAAGTTAATGATGATCTGTCACCCTGGCAAATGTCCATGATAATGTGTATTTAAGGAAACATATATCTTTTTATGTATTCTAAAAAGATAGGACTCAAGTCCATTTTAATTGTCCATATCAACATATATATACACACATAACAGCTTATATGAAAGCTGAGCATTTGAAGCAAAAGTCCTGTTTTTATCTGGCAGCTGTAGCTGCAAATGAAATATTTTGTTCTCGTGAGGTCTCCTATCAGCAGCAACTTTAGACATTCCCATAAAAACATTGCACAATACAACTGGCTAGCCAAACAAGATGTGGTCTCTAAATTTCTCTGTAGTTTGGTAATAAAGAGAAGAGGGATTAAGCAGAAGCTTTTTACCCTCTGAGACATCATCTCTCTGCAAACTTTCTGGATAAATGTGGCCCAGCTGTTTCACTGACCTTCCAGGACACTGGTACTTCCCACTTCCAAATGCCATGAAGCAGTCCAAGAAAGCATGCTTCTCTAAATTTGCCTTTTTCCAGCGTTCCTGTGGGAAGAAAGCAATTTTTTTTCCAAATCAGCCTTATATAAATAAGCTTAACTTTATTTCTCTAGGCTAAAAATGACTTTGTACAGCTAATCCTTGCATATAAAGTTGCAGGATTGTTGGTAATATTTTCCAACCTGTTATTAACAGCAGACACAATTGTGCTTTTGGAATTTGAACTAATAAATAAAAAGGTTTAAAAAGAATTCTGTTAAGTGGTAAATGCAACTGATAATGTAAATCTACCACAGAATTGACCTCAGAAGAGGAAGAGTATTTATAATAATGTCTCAGTTTCCATCATAAAATCGCCCTCGGTAATAAATTTAGTAATAAGACACTGACAGCTCTGCCCATTGCAGAAAGCTTGAGATGCAGAATGAATACATCTGGATGCCATTTTTGATAGGTTTATAACTAAAGACAGAGAGAATGGACCCAATAACTTCTTAAGATTCTGCTTAACCCTATTAACCCCAATTATAAGAAATAGCAGAGCACAGTTTTAAATTGGCTTATTGTGGGTGTTTGGGTACTCCTTCGAAACCAGTAAAGGAAAAACTGCCCTAAAGAATCTGAAATAAACCTATCAGAACCAGGGACATTTACTTTAATGTGCTCTTCGGGTTTCATATTTTAAAATTATTTTAAAGTTGATGAAGCTAATGCTGAAAACTTTTCTATATGATTTGTAAATGTTATATCCTCAATGTTGCAGGTTGAATCTGTACTTGATACCTAGAATTTGTTCTTAGTTGCCAGAGAAATATGACTGATTAATGGTATAGTCCCAGGTAATTTATGAATTCATACTTTTGACAGAAAGACAAAATAAAAGAACAATATATATAGAAAAAGATAACTTACAGGTTTGAATGATTCCGGTTCAGGAAAATACTTTGGATTTCTATGTAGCCAAAATGGAGACAACATCAACAAATCACCAGAAGGTACAGTATAATCCTATAGTAGAAAAATCAGTTTCAAGTTATTTTTTTGGAATCTGCTTTAAAGGAAATTTGGGTCAAAAAAGTAATGCTATAACTATAATATATTGTAGAAAATATGTATTTATTTTATATTCAGTGGTGATAAAAATCTAACCCTTTCATGCACAGATCATTTCCAACTCAGGCAATGAGTGTTTTTTAATTCCCATGATTTGTTACATAGACATAGTTGATTATATGGGAGAAAATATTAGCTATATGTGAACATTTTAGAAATAGTATAAGCCCATTCTAAAGCAGCTGTGGATATCTGATACTGGGTTTCCAACTGTTCTTGATGGTAGGAACCAGAGTGGACCTGCAGGTTGCATAATTCAAACTCTGAGACAGGACACTGGTCTCAGAGGACAAGGGCAGTGTGTATCCTGCCCCTTGGACATGCATGACAATGTCAGGGCATGAGCAGGGGGTTATTTTTTTTCATTCCTTTTTTTTTTTTTTTTCATTCATTCCTAAAGAAAACTGGTTAGGAAGACATAGGAAACAACAAGTTTTGGGCAGTTCCCTGATTTTGTTTGAAGTTGTAGTCACTGTGGGATTGAGGATAAGTGGTTTTTCAAGCAGCAGAGTCTGCATGATCTTTCTCCATTCTTGTTACAATAGGTTCTCATGATATATCAGCTATACCAAAAACTAAAAACCATTTCATAAAATCACCTTTATATTGCTGTGTTTAGGAATGATATGACAAAGATTTCTTTGATATGATAGCTGTTGATATGTTTACATGATAGCTTTATATTATATTAGTATTTCCCATTGTCAATCATTAGAAGCCACAGCAATTGACCTTGCATAATTCTGAAATGCCTTCAAGAGATTTATAAAACACATACTTTGAGTTTATATGCCTAGAACATCAGCACCACACAATTAAAAAATTCTATGGGGACTACACATGAGGCGGGGGGAGCAAACATTATTTATAAATGAACAATGATGTAAAATATTTATAAATAATTTTTTTAAAATGTCTTTTTATGTGCCAGGAGCAGAGCATGGGGAGGGGGTCATCATTTTTAAACCAGGAGAATCCTGAGTGGCTCCAATGGAGCTGATAAATGCTTGAGGTTTGGCAATTTTAATACCTTGAGAGCAGTAGAGAATCAGATCCAAAACTTGGAAGTGTTTTTCTGGTGCCCCCTTACCATTTTTAAAGTAGAAACAGACATGTGACTCCCAGTCCTGTCTGTTCACTTTATCTCTGCTGGAACCGAAGATGAAGAGGTCATGGCTGACTGATGACAGCTGCAGAGGACCCTGATGTATGTTTGGGAGCAGGATTGGGGGCACCCTGGGATAAGCCTCCAGTTAGGGCAACCATTACCCTTCCCTTCTCACACCTTGGTCCTCTTTAGTGACTGTTGACCTAGATCATGACTCAGAGACTGCTGACTGCTGCAGCCAACAAAGCAGCTAATAGAGGAAGGTTTCACATGGGATGTCAATAACAGAATTAACATTAGCAACAGGGAGGAGTCCAGAAAAGAAGTTCCTGTTGTAGGAGCAAAGGCCAGACTGATGAGTGGGATATAGGGATGTGACAGTTGGTTGTATCAAAGGAACCCTCTGGAAAAATGGACATCATCATGCCCAGTCTAAACCATCTCTGCCATTATTTAGATGACAGATGAAGAGAGACATGAAGAGAGAGACAAAACAAAGGATCAAAACACAAATCACTAGCAAAGGGAAATACAACTGCTCTGTGTTGCTGATGGCCTCTCTCAATACAGAGAGTCAAACCTGCTGGCTCATTCAAGCAGGTACTGTAGAGTCCCACGAGCTTTACCTGCTAGTCTGGAGATGTGGTTTTCTGGAAGAGGGGAGAGAAGTCAGGATTCTCTGTTATAACTCAAGAAGGATGTTGAGAGCAAAGCAAATGCAAGGAATGTAGAATCTTGAAGAGAAAGGAGAAGTCCTATAAAGTCAAAGTGTGTATGAGGGAAAGTCCAAAGTATTCACTTTCACGTCTAGTTCTTGGCCAGGAGCTTGATGGGTCTTACTTGCCAGAAAATAAAAATACTTTAAAAATTAAAGAATGTACTCTCTAGCATGATAAAAAATGATCCCTATTAAAATTTTGGAAAATTCAGAAAAAAAGAGAAAAAGTTAGAAAAGAAAAAGGCAGAGTACAAATAACAAGACAGTCCTCATTTGGCTTGACTTCTGTCCTGTACCTCTTTACCTAATGGGTGAGTTGTGTTTGTTGTGGTTAAACATAGTATTTTTCCTACAGAGTAATTTTTTATTCTTACTGTGTTTACTTAACATTAGTGTATTTTTTTTCCTTTTTTATTATATATTCATGGTGAATAATTTTGTCTCTAATGACTGTTTAATTTTCATTGGTGTGTTAAACCATAATTAAGTTAACCATTCTCTACTATTTTTCACAAAATAAATAATCCCATAAGCATCTTCCATAAAGAACTTATTATATAAAAATCTTTTATATATTCAGAAGAAATAGGACTTGGATATTTTAAGGCTATTAATATATGCTGCTCAACTGTTATCTCAAATTTTGCAACAAAATGTGTTTTTAACTATAAAATATAAGTGTCAATTTCATTGTCCTTCTATCTTTTAATCTGATATTAGAGTAGATTATTTTTTACATATTTACATTATGTTGCTAGATATATTTTATGTCTTTGTTGAATATTTTTTCATAATAAGCTACTTTCTCCTATAGATTTCTGTGGTCATGTCCTATCCTCATTTACATATACACTATTAGTATTTTACTATTGATCTATGAATTACTTAAAATTTAAAATTATTTACCCTGTTATATTATTATTTTCCTTTATTTCTGGTTTATATTTAATATAAATATAACCTAAAATAATAAGATGTTAAATTTTTATATGGCAGATTCAAGACTGGTCGTCATCTTTGCAGTTTCATTAATGAATCCTAGGCTTTAGCAGCCTTCTTTTTCCTAAAAAATCGCCATTTTCAAAGGTGGTCTACAGATTCCTCAGAGTCATAGCACTATCAGGTAAAAGACTCATTCAAAATATAGGACAAACATTGGGTTTCAGTGTAATTGAGTACAAAAATGCATTGAGGTATTTTCGGATTGCTACAAACTTTGATGAAATATCCATGTTGAGTTTTAATGTATTATCAAAGAACAGCCATATATGAAAAGGTTATTAAACTATTCATTCCTTTTCTCATACAAATCTGTGTGTTGCTGAATTTTCTTTATTTACATCAAGGGAAACAATATACCTCAAGATACTGACTGCAGACAAATATATGGGAATACAGATGTATTGTGTTATTAGCAAGGTATTATATTTGCCAGTACTTAAAATGATGCTATTCTTTTTCTTTTTTATTGTTCTCTAAAATATAGTCCTGTTTCATAAAACCATGCTATTATTTTAACATGCAACAGGTTTCTCGTTACTTTTAACTGAATTATCAAGTCAATGTTTTTAAAACTTCTCAGCTTTAGTTTATGACACAGAGCATATTAATACATATAACTCACATAGACAAAATCTCTGCAGGGTCAATAATTCTGAAGGGTATAAAAGAATTCTGAGACCAGAAAGTTTGAGTACCACTATTTTTGAAGTTAAAGAAATATATGCTGTAGCCAGTCATCCAAAACTATATATTAATCTCTTCCTTCTTCCTTGACTTTTAGAGATGTATTTAACCTTTATCACACTCTACTGTATTAGAGCTTGGTTCTTTGTTTTCTACCAGTCTGTTTTGTTGATTTGTACATTTTATCTGACACCATTATCATACTATTTTAATTGTAGTGTTATACCTTTAGAAGAGAATTGATATTACTCAATTATTCCTACTTTCTAACATGTTTTTGCTTATTCATTTATGGGTGTTTTTTAAGATCAGTTTTGCATCAAAATATGAAACTTTAAAAAGACAAAAAGACAGTACAGGTAGATGTTAAGTTAAAAGTTTTGAAAGGTATCATAATAAAGAGAAAGGATAGAATAGATAAAAGAAAGCAGATAGTGCTTGTTCATTTTAATGAGGACCTCTTCAGACTACATTAGGGGAGAGTAGTAGAAAAAAACTTACAGCATTTATAGCAAGAAATCTTGACCAGTTGTCCAGTAGAGAAAAATTATGAGCTTCCATGCTTCACAACAAAGGTGATCCACTGAAAATGTTTTTTTTTAAATAATCAAAATTCTTGGGAACATGTTTGTATATTCAGCAGACATTTAGGAAACATATGAAGCTTGAAACTAAGTTGAATGAATCTATACTGACAAAATAATTAGTAATGAACACAAAGATTTCAGCTATAGGATATTCATTTTTTCATTGTCCAAAGAGTAAAAACTGGAAGCTATATACACATTCAAGAACAGAGAACTGATTAAAAAATTTATGGTATATTCACAGTATTAGACTACTATGCTGCAACTCGGTGGTACGGATGTCTTTTATTGAAAGAGAGAACTATTTGTTATCTATTTTATTTTATTTTTTTTTTTTGCCTGAATATATCTTTTTATTGAATGATAGAGTTATGGAAAAGTAATATTTAAGAGATTTTAGACTTTCTTATTTTCTATTTCTACAGAGACAAAATTATTTTCATCAGTTATTGCTTTTTTGTTGTTACATTGTCACATCATATTATAATATAAACCCTATTGACTGTTTTTTTTTTTTTTTAGAGAATCTGCATTTTACTTTATTTATTTTTTTTTTTTTAATAAATTTTATTGTTATATTCCCCATACAATTGCCGCCCCCCATTCTGACCCCAATCCCTCCCCTCCCGCCCCCGCCCCCCTAAAAGTGTCTCTGGTTCATAGTTTTTTGTTGATTTTGATTTTCACTTTCTTATAGTTTTTCATTTTCCTGGTCCATTATTTAAGTTTTCTAGATTCCTGCTATGAGTGAGACCATCCGGTATTTTTCTTTTTCTTTTTGGCTTATTTCGCTGAGCATGATCCCTCTATTTTAAATAAACTAAAAGAAGGTTATGAGAAAATTAGCGCACTATGGCAACAATTAAATTTTTACAAAAGCACACACTACAGAACAAAATCTGAAATAGTACTACCCAAATGTTCATAGTGGATATCTCTGACTTGTGAGATTTTAAGCAAGCTTTATTTTTCTTCTTTCTTTTAGCTTTTTTTATGGTATCCTTTTAAAATTTAACATATTTCACTTATATAATAAGAAGAAAAAAATTACAAGTTATTATTTTTAAAGTTAAAGTCTCAAATCTTCAGGGAGAACTTAACAACATTTAGCTTGGACAGCCTAAGAGGAAAGGCTATTTTTATATTATTTATATAAGAAATAATAAGTACAGGAAAATTCTTACAAATATTAAAGTGATATTATGAAAGGAGTACTGGTACATTCTTAGAAGATGGCAGCCTGAGTGCAAACTCTGGGTTGCCCTGCCACTCAGAGGTTCAAATTGTTGTTTGCTACCTTTCACAAGGAAGTACATGAATTAGAAAAAAAAAAAAAAAAGAAGGCAAGAAAGAAGAATGAAAGTAAGGCAATAAATAAGAAGAAAGGAGGTAGAAAGGGTAGAGAAAAGAAGAAAAGGGAGGTACGTGAATGTTCATGATAAGGGAACAAACATAAAACACCTTTTAAGAGACTATCATGATACAAAAACCAGACAAAAGAAAAAAGAAAGGAGGGCCTCCTTGGAGGCACAAGGGGTTAAGGACAGCACAGTGAAGCTATCCACAGCCACTGAAGCACAAGTTCAATCCCCCGGCCGACCAGGGAGTTACCCACATGGCGCGGCAGACCTTTCCTGTCTCACCTGCTGCTCCCCTCAGCAGTGTATTTCAGTCAGTCTGTCTGTTCTGTTACCTGCTCTGTCTCTAATGAATCCTCTCACTCTCCTCACCTCTGGCTTATACCCCAGTTCTTGTATGCATAAATAAATAAATCTTAAAAATGAAAAAGGTGAAAACTTCAAGTAGCTATCTCTTATGGACTTAGGAGCAAAAATCCTCAACAAAACATTAGCAAAACAAATCTAACAACATGTGAAAAGAATTATGCACCATTACCAAATGAGATTAACTATAAAAGGCAGTTTCAATATTCATTTCAATATTAATTTAAAAATTAGTAAATGTAATCCACTGTATCAACATGTTAAAAGAGTGTATGATTACATCAATTTATGCACCAAAAAAGCCAACATGAATTCATGATTAAAATCTCAGCAAATGAGAGGGAAATTTCTTCAAGCTGACAATACCTATTAAAACATTTAGTTAACATCATACTTCATGGTGAAAGTAAGATGAGGAATAAAGCAAAGGTAATTGCTATCACCACTATTTTTCAACATAGTTTGAAAGTTACAACCAGAGCAACAGAGCAAGAAAAAAGACATAAAAGGCATAGTGGTAGGAGAGAAATAAATTAAAATATTGTCTACACACAAACTCATGAGAAATCTACAAAAACACACCCAAGATCAATACGTGAATTTAACAAAGTTGCATATATAATATCAGCACACTAAAATGACTATATTTCTACAAACAAGTATGGTACAATTGGGACCCAAAATAAAATTAGGATACCACTTACAAGAGCTCCAAAATAACTGAAATATTTAAGTATAAATCTAATAAAACTTATATGGGATCTGTATGCTTAATGTAAAAATCAAGATATACACTGGCAGATAAATAACTATTCTGTAATTCAGTTAATTATCCACTAAACAGAATGTAAGAAAGCCTTTTACAAAGTCCAATAAAAATTACAGTAAAATTTGGAGTAATAATTATATTATTACTCTACTTATTGAACCAAGTTGTTTGACTATTTCCTTTGAAAGCATATCCTTTAAAACTAATAGTTTAAAGTAATTGAAGAGATTACATAAAAGCAAAAATCCCACTAAAACTAAATGCCATCATTCATGTAAGATCAGCTAAATAAATTATGTCTCCTTTAGATTTATCCAGTTGCCACTTCTATGAAATTTGTGGTTTGGGGTCTCTTTTGTGTTTTACTTGGTTTGAATCCAAGTATTCTAAAGCTGTGTAAAAAAAAAAAAAAGGAGGCAAGAGTGGAAGGCTGACCAAATGTGATCTAGCTGGATAATTTAAAAAAAGGTCAAATTATTCTGAAAAAAAATTCTGTCCTGCCTGATTGAGTCACCAATTATTGAATTGAAAACCGACCATGTACACATTGAGTACTTGAGAATTTTCTCCTTCTTTGTCCATAAAAATAAACTCTCTCCCTCATTCAGCCACTAATATCAGTTTTTTGCTATTATACAGTTATTTGCTAGTATCAGCTGCTATGAGATTCCTACTATCTATTCCCACATCTGTCATCTGTGGCCTGAAATTGTCTTCCAGTTTCTAAAGAACTTTCCTCCTAGCCTAAACCAAGAATAAACATGAGTTGGTTGGTTCAGCAAAAAAGAGACTATCCAATCAATCTACCCATTTGATTTAAATAGTTATTCTAATTCTGATGGAGAACCACATAGCCAAAAGGATTATTTACCTACAATAGTCACTAGCCAATAAATATCCATATTTATCAAAGATGCGGCACAACTCTTACTGTTCCAGGATTAGTGTTTAATGAAACTCAAGGAGTTGTCTAATAATATATGGACAAAATATATGGGCAATATAGAAGAATGATTATTTTAAAACCAAACCAAAGCTCACCAAAATTTTAACCGGCGTTACCACTTTTCTAGCAATGACACCAGGGGCTCTTAAACGAATGGTTTCCAAAATACACCATTTAATCAGAAGGAGTTTCTTCAAATCATCTTCAGACACCTTAATCTCATCTTTACCTGTAAAGAATTCGGAAAAAAAATAAAAGATGGGCTTAAAGAAGCAGAAAAGTTATTTCATATAAGCTCATCAAGGTAAGACACTGCCTCTGACAGCATTAATACTACTCTTTGATACCAAATTTAATAATTGCCTCTTTTCTCTTATCCATATAACAGGTATGGCATTAAACAAACAAACAAAAAAAACCGGGCCTCCCCTGGTGTTATAGGGGGTTGAGCACTGTGAAGCTATCTGCAGCCTCTGCAGCACTGGTTTGATCCTGGCGGGCTGGCAAGGGTCCCACATGGCACAGCAGACCTCTCCTGTCTCACCCACTGCTCCCCTCAGCAGTGTATTTCATCAGTCTGCCTGTTCTCTTCCCCGCTCTGTCTCTGGTGAATCCTCTCACCCTCCCACACATCTGGCCTGTACCCCTGCTCTTGTATAAATAAATAAATAAAGCTTTTAAAAAATTTTAATTATTAAAAAAAAAAAAAACATTGCTGCTTACTGCAGTGTGATGGACTGATAGCCAACCTTGGTTATCATAGTCCTATGACTTTCAAATGACTAAGACAGTCCCTGTCAGAAATTCTCATTCCACATAAAGACACAGCAATAAAAGATTGACATCAACGAAATAAAATATCTGCATACAAGAGTGAAAAATCTAACAAGTCATCTGCTACTTCTACTTCTTCTCTGCTTGTTATTCATACATTCATTTTTGGTTTTGCTTTATTGTTTTTTTAACTATACATTTCAGAAGACTCAAAAAGGAACTTTAGGAAATGGCTAATGGCTGATGTGATACCTGTTTCATATCTAACATGATGAGGTCTCCCTTTAAATACAAGGACATCAAATGTATACCTAATATAATGTGTATCCCTAAGCTTTTATTTCAATAGAAATTACCTGAGAAAGAACTGGAATATATCTTTTTACAACCCAGTGTATGGTCATGGCCTTTTGGTTGAGGGTATTTTAAGTAAAAAGATGATAAAGTATTTTAAGAAAATTACCTTAAACAGCTGTTTTCAATTTGGTTTTGACAATATTTGCTTAGTAAAAGTCAACATCATTGTCCATTTAATTAAGCCAAATTTCACATTCACTTTCCAACTATATTGGGAATAAGTGGGTAAGAGTGGAATGTTAGGGTCTCCAGTCATGTCCTTCTTTGACTCTGGATGAGGCTTGTTGTAAATCCAGCCCATTCTGTGGGGGAGGCCTAGCTGCTTTCGATGCCTTATCTGTCAGTACATATGAAATTCCTGAGCAGTAAGATGCTAATGTCATTGCATTGTTATTGGGGAGTCTCTCGGCAGCAGGGTTTTGAGTTCTGGCTCTTGTAAGACTATAAGGGCATCCCCTATAGGGATTGAGGAATTGAGTTTCATTCTACCAGTGTTACAACAACTAGAAGAAGAGACAAGCATACAGTTAAGTGGCAAACCATTTAGGCAAAGAAATTGTTGTGTAAGAAGTAAAATATTCTAAGACAGTTAAAACCAGGGAAATTTCATATCCAACAAAATGAGAAGCAAAATATTCTGTGAATACTTTTCTCTAAAAGGATAATTTTAAATAGTTTGTCGCATAGAGCAGGCTTCTATCTATTTGTTATAAATAACATATATATATATATATATGTATATATAATTAAATAGTCCAGCTTCAACAAGGGAGATGAATGAGTGGATATTCCAAACAAAGGAAAATGAAGAGCAAAAAATGAAATCTGCAGAAAGCATTGTATATTCAGAAAAATAAATAGTTTTAGTTTGCCCAAAGGAGGAATAAATGTGAAGGGCCAGGGAGAGATCCACTAATGCCATACTAGAGATAGTCCTTAATGTCATTCTGGAAAATTTGGACAATAGAGAAGCTGGAAGATTCTTGCCTTGGGCCGAAGGAGGGAAAAAACTTCAACAGTGAAGTGGTGGTATATAAGAACTGTTTATTTGCTCATACTTAAGCAGCCTAATTTTACAAGGAGACAAAATGACCTGAAAGGCTATTTTTTTTTAACCTTCACAGACATTGTCTTACAAAACATTTGCTTTTGCTTTTCCTTAACAAGGATTGGAAAATGATAGGTATGTCTTTTGCATCTTCACAATCTAAATGCAATCATACATTGCTTAATGACAGTTCAGTCAATAATGGAACATATATGCGATGGTGGTCCCAAAAGGCTTGGTAATTACACTCTTTGACATTCATACAAGGATGAAATCACCTAATGATACTTTCTCAGAAAATCTCCTAGTTGTTAGATGACACATAACTGCATCACAGTTTTGCCAAATTGTGTTCAATGAAACATTTGCAAATGTTTAAAGGAGAAAAAAAGGTTGTATGGTCAACCAGATATGGGAACTATTAAGATGCTATTGGTGTTTCACTGGACACATTAGCATAGTATAGGCTTTGAGAAATCCTGCAGGTAGAGACAGCTGTTTATGCCAATATTTCCAAACCTTTGTGACCATAGAATCTGTCTTCTCCCATAACCATACAAGCATCATCATTAACCACTTAAACAGGACACAAAAGATAACTAGCTACCAAATGACTACGGATCATTTCTATGACAACTATTTAAAAAAAAAAAAACTCAAACTCTAGTTTAAACCTATTTGAGCATTACCAAAACATACCATATGTCTTGCCATGCATGTGGTCCAATCTTTTGTAAGTAGCAATTTTGAATCAAAGGAAGGAATTATTACCAACAGAAAAATAGCTCAATAAACCATGAAAACTCTAGTGGTAGCAAACTTTTACTTACTTCACATTAAAATTTCTTTAGTTGAAAAAATGACTGAGATTTTTACATATACAACAGAGATGGTTGCTAAATCAACTAAAAAAGCTTTTATTTGGCCTTTTGTGGAGTGTAAAGTGCTAAGCAATACAGAGAATACCAGAAATTTAAGTGCTAAGGATCTTATACTGAAAAAGACAATAAATTCTAAAACTGAAGGAAAGGAAGGGTAAATGCCTCACCCAGAGAATGTTAAGGTAAGAAATTCTGAGATTCCAGTTTATGAATTGGTTTATGAATGACACACACACTTAGAGTAGCACCTAACAGGTGCTACTGTTAGGTGGTGTTTGTTTATTATTATTTGTTTATATATTATATATTATATATTTATATATAATATAATATATATTATATTTATATATATTTTAATATATATTTTTATATATATTAAAATATATTTTTATATATATTAATATATATTTTTATATATATTAATATATATTTTTATATATATTAATATATATTTTATATATAATATATATTATATTTATATATATTTATATATATTATATATTATATATTTATATATATCATATATCATATATTATATATTACATATATTTATATCATATTTATATATTATATCATATATTATTATTAATATATTAATATTATTATTAATATATTATATATATTATATATTATTTGTTTATTATTAAACACCAGGTGGTGTTTGTTTATTATTATTCCTATTACTATTAGTGTGAATTTACTAATGACTCTCTAGAAATCATAACTCTTTGATTTACTCTTGCTTCATAGCTAATAAAATTATCCTTTTTCCTCAAATCTTTGTTGGAAGAAAAGCTACAGATTGGCAGCATATCTAATACAAATTGGATACTAGGTCTGGGGGAATTCTTTCAGTCATTCTTTCAACAGATATTTGTTGAGAATCTCTCAGCAGTGTGGAAATGTGGAGTATGAAGATGAATGGATGACTCTGGCTCTTAGGAGTTAACATAGTCTGAGGAGATGAAGAACTCAAAGTAGATGATTTCTGATAACTGTTATCACGTTACATGTGCTGTGGGTCATAGGATGACAGTGATTAGATGGGAGGGAAAGGAAATATCAGAAAGACTTCTCAGAAGAGGTAAAATCTGAAAAGGGATTAGCTACACCAAAGTAAAGTATTTGCTTAATAAAAGTCAACAACATTGTCCATTTAAGGAAGCCAATTTACAGTCAGAAAACAGGAACTTGGTTTGCTGGAACACAGTCTAGCGCAGGATGTAAGGGAATCAGGGTGCTTTACTGAAGTCCCAGTCTGCTCATACCAGCTGAAGGCAGAGCTGATGACTGAAGGCTCTTTCATTCAAGCTTTGAATGTGCCCTAGGAGCACCCAGGTTTCAGTCATGGGTCCTCCCCTTTTCTCTGCCTATACACACACACTCTCTCTCTCTCTGGAATGTTCTAACAGATCTTGTCTATAAATCACCATCAGTACAAATTCTATTTCCTTCCTTGATCACTTTCCTTAACTCTAACTTATTTTTTTTGCTTATTTTATTGGCTTCGTGATAGTTCTGCTTGCAGATCTAAATGACATCTATCTCAAAGCTCTCATTAGTCAACATAGAACATAGAACTTTTCACTTTCTCCACTAAAATAATCTTTCCTCCCTTGTTTTTCCCATCACAGAAAATGGTAGCAACATTGTCCATTTGCTTAAGTGAAATCTTATCAAGGAATGATCCATGATTCATCCCTTCCCCCTTTACTGCCATTTAATCAACTACCAAATCTGTTGTTTCTATCACAAAATAGAACCTACCTCCATTTACATCATGCCATCTTCATAGATACTACTCTTAACCAAGTCACCACTGTTTCTTATCTTGTTCATATTACTAACCATCTATGCTCCCTGGTCCCACCTGGCTCCTCTACAGTCCCCATGTATATCATATCCCCAATGTATATTATATCCCTATGTATATATGCATATCACAGTAAGTACTCTCTGCAGTTCCCATTGGGGACTTCAATGCCCTTTAGATTAATCCAAAGTTCTTACTTTGGCAAATAAGATTCTATCTATTCCTCTCATCTCATTTCACACTGAATCCTGGGGTCTGTATGACCTTTGCAAATTAAGCAACCTCTCCGAGCCTCAGTTTTCTGGCCTATAAAATGAGAACATTCAAAGTATCTGCCCTATTCAATTGTGGGGATT